TTTTTCTCGTTGCCATGTTCCCCCCAATAACGGAGCTCTATTTTCTGCCTTTAAAAGCACATACAACCCACAATTCCTCTATTCGCTCCGACGAAGGGCTAARGCTCGAAACGTCAGCTTTTGTAATCGTTACGGTGGCCAATTTACCATTTCAACTTTGTTGATATATCCAAATTAATTGGAAAGAGTTTCATATAACCCCTACTTTAATTATGCATTGATTTCATAAAGACTAAATATAGAGGTTTCTTTGCAACACTCTATGCAAATTAATGTATGGGGTTATATGGAACTCTTGTCGCTTAATTTTTCGACTTTTACCCTGAATTTTCCACGTTTACAAAAAAATATCGCGGAATTGATGTTGCAGCATAGAATTTGTCTGTAATTATTTCACTTGATTTTCCCTTTCCAACTACAAATACAAATAATCAATTTTAACACTTGCTACATTTGAGAAATCCCGCCGTTCGACTTTGACTCAATTGCTTTTAATTCAAACATTCCAGCCGTGACGCCTCCAGGGAATTATTCAATCTACCTATACTATGTATTTCAAAACAAAACGAGACTAGTTCATTTATATATTTTGTTGACACCGTAGAGGAATATGATAAAGTTATTTAAAAATAATCATTGTTGAGCAATCACAAACAGTCATTGTAAATGCACTAACGAATGCAAACTGTGGCTTGTTTCGACTATTTTTTATTATTAGAACAACACCTTACATAAATATTGCGTTTGATTGAAATAATAATGGAAACGTGATATAATTTAGCTCCTCGGTTTTGCTTTCGTCGCACATCCGGTTCTGAAGAATGTAATAAAGAAGTAATTTTCTGAGCGAAAAATTAAAACATCGAAGCTTTTTTTGTATAGCGCCTTGTCGCTCGTGATTTTTTGGGATTGCGTGGCCATTGTTTGTTCTTTCTTTAGAAGCTGCATCTCAAAAGCAATCTGTTTCAGATTTCTCTTGCGGTGTTGAAAAAAGAAAAAAAAAACAGCTTACACATTAGATTTTTGACAAAGGGTTCAAAAGTGATTTTTAATTTTCAAGGAAAAAGGCCTATTCGCGTCGGCGTACCATTGCCACTGTTAATTTTTCATCGAAAAAATCAACGCTAGTTTGTTATTAAGAGAAAATAGCGAAAGTTAAACATATTTTCCAAATAAGACAGAAAATTCAAGGTAAAGAACAAGTTATCCAAATAAAAGATGTTTTTAATCATAAACATTGTTTATTACAAGTGACATATCAGCTAAAGAAATTTACTTAAAAAAGTCAAAAAGAAAGAAGTGTGAAGCTTCAAAAGGCAACTCCCTCGAAAATTCCCTGAATTCTGTGAGTTGATATTGTTCCTTTTAAGCTATTTCTCTGGTTCAATGCAGTGCACTTATAGGTGGTTTGCAACCAATCTCTAGAGACACAAGTAACAACAGTGAAAGGAACAAATGCTGGTGGACGAACAAAAGGAGCTAATGAGATATCTATTGCTTACGTCCACCAACATGGCGGCAATGACGTAACGTGCAAATCACCTATTGATGGTATTCAACTGGAAGACTACACAGAGGGTCTCTATGGAATTAACCGTTGGACGAAAATGACCAAAATGTTTTGCCGTCAGGCGCTAAAATTGACTAATTTTAACCGTTAGCCGTAAAAAAGGAAGAAGTTAACCGTAAAGTTTTCAGCTGGTGACTACAATAGAAAGATACTTACTGTCAGCCGTAAAGTGGCCAAAATTCAAACCGTTATCTATAAAACCCCTCTCCCCAATGAGACCCTCTGAACAGTATACGAAGCTGTGTTCCCTGTCATAATTAAGAAACGTGCTCTCGAATTGTACTATCAAAGGTAATTTGAAGACATCTTTTAACTTACCGAACGTGCGTAAAACTTTTATTTGACTCGAGAAGGCGGCGAGGTTTGTTTTGAAATAATATCCTGCCAACTTTACTCTCAAATGAATTACCTAATACATTAGTTTATGCCAACTGAATTAATTACTACCCGAGACTGAACTAAATCATCTGAACAACAAAAGGTAACAGCGAAAAAGATAAGAAAAATACATAGAATACACGGATAGAACTCTGGCTGAGAGCTTTCCCTTTACGCGCACATACATTATATGTCTCTTTAGTTGAACTACGGGTGGGCAAAAGGTCATCACATGTATTGTAAAAACTGTCCAGAAGTTAAAATAACAGCCTGTATTCACAAAAAGCGCTCGGACAAAAGCAAACTATTGTCTTTGTTAGGACTTGTAATTCCAAAAAAGATTGTTACCGAAACAATCTCTACCCTTAATATCACATCACGTATCGCGTATCACATCACGTATCTCTTTCACATTCTTAACGTGAGCGATTGATGGAGATTCTTATTGAAATGGCGCTAAAATAACATCAAGGTAAATGTCATTTGAAAACAGCTCCGTGAGAGGAATCCTCCTTGCTTTCTTGGCACTAGGGAAACTTTGCCACAATGATTTTTGGAGCATCCCTTGTCACCAGTGACAGAAGGGAACAAGAATTCTTAATTAAGTTTAAAATCTTTGTCGGCGGTTTACAGTGATACAGAATTGGCTAAAGCTGACAAACGTTTTCAATTCCTAGACGAAAAATTTCGATATCTCCAACGAGCCTTCATGCAAAGGAAACAAGTGCTTATCTTTTGATGCAAAAGCAGTCACCGGCCCCAGAAAATTAACCCCAACCAACGTTTAGGTTCTGCAGAATTTATTTTTGAGTCATTTTAGTGTGTTGGTTTATTGACCTGGTTCCTTTCTTTGTCCAGTTTAGTTATATTCGTTAAAAATAATTTTACTCAATTAAAAAACGAAGTGCTTTTGTAATGAGGGAAAAACGCACAAGGCAACCCTGAAAAACACATACTATTCCTCTTTGTGAACCGTGCGATTAAAGAAGTTGCATGTATACTGCGTCAATATTTTACTCTGCTGAGTTTTCAGGTAATTGAAAAGGTAAGAGTACTGTCACTGAACGTCCGTAATAACAACCTTTAACATTGAATCGGAGACTGTTTTGGTGATGTACATGACATGACAGTTAATTGAATTACGACTGACATAAGAGATGAAGGTTAGTGTTTCGGTAAAATTATTTCAAAGTTAAAGAAACTTGGCGCAGTTCTGAAGATACAGGTGAACAACCAAATAAATTTGAACCACAGAGACAATAATTTGAATTTTAATGTGGAAAGAAGTACCTTGGCAATAATCTTTCTGGAAGGCATAAGGCTTAAAATTAGTTTACCACTTGCAAAAATTCCTCATCATTTCTTGACATGAATATAATTTAGATTTCTTTTTTTAGATTTAAAAACTCAATTATTTCACCTTTAAGAACAGGTAATAATGCCACGCATTATATTTTGATCAGCATTTCGCTGTTTTTAACGTAATTATTTTGAGACCTTTGTATACACTCAACAGGGAAGGGAGATAATACACAATTTCTTTAAGACTTTTAACAAAACACTCCCACAAGGAAAAACCATGTCTATGTTTTCATTTGACTGATTCTAATATGTTCTTAGTAAGTGAGAATATTCGCTGTTGCGCTTGTCTTAATGGAATATGATGACTGAAAACGAAAAGTAACGGATATTAAGTCGATAAACAAGTGAAACTATTCATAAAAAACGGGTGCTTAAAACTAAACAAAGTGAACTTATATTTGCTGTTAAAGCTATCACAAAGCATCTTTAAATGAAATTTCGGTTGACAACAAAGACGAGAGGGTTATTTTCAAATAAAAATATAGCTCAAAGAGCCGTTCTTGAAGCTCCTTCAAAACAAAATGAAAAAATTAAGAAGAAAGCTTTAAGTGTCAAGCGAAATGTCTTAATGAACCCATAAATGCTAAAGCTTTCTAAAATCATGGCAACAGAGTGATCTGGCTCCTTGGCTTCTACCTAAGTCCCATACAAAAAACAGCCCAGGACTTTTCAAAAAGTTTGAAAGCCCAAGCTTTCGTTTCTTACATCAAAAATCTCTATTGCAATTATGAAACATTGGATAAACATTTCTCTACGATTTTCTTTCAAACTTGTGTGTGTCACATGCTTGAGTTGGGTATAACTAATTAACTGTACGGATAAGCTATGTTTAGATTATTGACTTTGACATTTTCTGTAAAAAGCAGATGATTCATTCATGCTTCCTATCATCTCTCAACGGGAGTGGTGGCCAGGGGAAAAGAATTTCATTTACCGGCGCCAACCTCTTATTTCCCGGGGGCTGAGTTCCGGTATCAGGATATAAAAACCTTCCGTCGAGTCAGATATCATACTTACTCACCTGCGGTCTGAGATATCGGGCGAATTTTGTTAGAACAGTTTGACACGTAAGTAAAATTTTCAGTTATTTTATTAAGTAGTGTATCGTATATAAAACTGCTTATCTCCATACTGTGTTCAGTTTAATTTCACGAGTCCAAAGTCTAAGTCTTATTGAGTTCAAAGTCTTGAATTTATGTTTTCACAAAAGTTGAGCTACATCACGAAGCGCATCGACATTTCATGATGGTCCAACTAGGGACTGAAGCTGGCGGTCATGTCAATGAAAGATAATTGAATTGGTTTCGCGCAATGGTTGGTTTCTTTCAGTTTTGAGGACTCAAAAAATCCTTCTTCCTGACGTATCTCAGCCAAAAAAATTTACTTATCCACATCAATCAAATTCCGTTCCGTGTTGTGTTCTAGGGAAATAAATTTATGATATCTCTTGTTCGTTTCCATCCGCTAATCTCGATAATGTTGATACTCAAACCTGATAATGTCCTAATTATGCTATCCTGTATCAATAACTAGAAAAAGATATGATGTCAGTCGTATTACTCAACAAAATTACATGAAATTGTTAGGGCAACTGCATTTTCAAAATATCTTGGAACTAAAAAAATCAGAGGAGTTTCAATCACAACATCAAAAATTTCCAAAAAAGTGTCATTTAAAGAACTTTAAGCAAATTCATATATCAATTTTGATATGTGCTTAAGTTCAAGTTTCACAAGGTCAATATATTATTCTTAAAAAAGGAGTATTACTTGCACAGCAGCCGTCCTTCAATGACGCTTATTAAGAGACTCGAGTGACAGTAGATGACGTGTTTTTTGAAACGTTTTTACGCCCACAATAACAGACCACCTGCGTAATCAGAACAAATATATTCTTGTGGAAACTTCTTGGTAGGTCACAAAGCGGACGGTTGTCTAGGGTCTTCACGAATCCCAGTGCATTATACAACAAAGGTTTTTTTCGCTTTCTCCCGTACTTTGCTTATTGTTAAGAACGTTAATCTTCTATGAAAAATAACGGGTTATGGATAATTTGAGCGGGCGCTTTGCAAATGTAGTATCAGTGATAGGAAGAAGGCTTTTGTGGAACCTTTAAGAGTATACCAATTGAGGGAAGATAAAGCGGTGGTCGTCGATACCTTTTTCGTCGAACAATAGATATTTCAAGTTAAATTATCTTGAAAGTATGTAATTTAACAGAGTTTACTCTTCTGACATATGGCCGTTTTATCAGCAGATCAAAATGAATCAACTAAAACTGATCCTTCTCATTGCCTTCTTCACTTCTTTCTTGTTCACCGAACTGGCCAACGCGCACTTTCGTCTCGGCCGAGGAATGGAGCGAGCTGGAGAGGGGCCTTTGGAGGAAAGGAGGGCCGCCCTGCATGACACTGGCTTCCTAGAGGCGAGAGCAGAGGCCAAGAGGGAAATGTTTTTGAAACGTTTGGAAAACCTCTTAGATAAATATGAAACAAGAGTGCGACGCAGCGAGGACACGAAGAATTAATCAAGGTATACACTGATGTTTTGTCGATCGCAATGTTAAACAACTCAAGAATGACTCCTTTTACGGTTTTTGAATCTATGGTTAAAATGCAGGCAAAAGGTTTTCACACAAAAGGAACACTTTGAATCTAAAGTTTGATCTCAAATGCAGTTAAAACCTTAGACATGGCGACTAAGGGTGATTTCGTGGTGTCGTCAACAAACATTCATTTTTGCACCCGTGTATAATCCTATATGCTCTTTGCAATAATTCTTTTAAAGAAACATTTAAACAAGTCTCTATTTTATGTTTCCTTTCCTTCACAGGAATGCAGAATTTTACAGTTAAAGGAAGAAAAAGCCAGAAGATATGAAGGAACCACGAATATTTTCGCTAACTAGTTGTATACGTAATAGAACATAATGTCACCCAAGTGAAACACTCATATAAATATTCAGCACCACTGGGAGTCAAATCGTGTGTGGTAACAATTATCTGTAAAAGCAGCAATTGTTAAATCACAGAAATAAGTAAGTTCTTGAGATCATTGCAGATGAAGGGTACATTAAACACTTGAGGCACAACCAAAGGCGGGCTGTTTTTATGTATGTCTAATTTCTATGTAAGTACACACCACTAGTGTTACGAAAACATGTTTTTCAATCCTTTGTTAGAGTATTTTTCCTAAGCACAGTATGTATTCTTCCCATTTCGAGCTAATATTGCAGGAGGCGTCACTTATTTCCCGCCAGTAATTGCAAGTATTGCAGTGATACAAATGAACAAGAATGCCGAGAGCCCTGCTTGAGGGTATACAGCCGGCAGATGGCTGTTTACCTCAAATGAATTCGCATATTAACGATACATTTAGGCACCATTATGTCAACGCAGGAATCATGCATAATCATGCGATGGAGTATGGAGGGGTCCTTAAACATGCTCATAGCATTTAACCATTTAGAACTTCAAAACCACTCGGACTGGACCGCCACATTCGTGAGAAGGTTATTAAATTAAATTCATGCGTGTTTGAGGTGAACTTGTGGCAGTTTAATAGCGGCTGACAGAGAGGAAATCCCTCTTGTTTACTTATCGGAAACAATCATGAATACGGTAAGCTCCTAGTAGCCAAAACATTTGGAAGCACCATAAAGCTTCACTAGAAAGTTTTGCAATCGGACGCAAAATACGAATAAAAACTGGAAAGCGCTCTGCATATTCTCCATCAATAGCTGGTAAAGGGAGCTACAGGCAGACATAGGTGGGGAGAGGGTGGGATACTGAGGCACGTGTTATCCCCTCTAACACGGCTTGTGATGATGATGATGATGGTAATGATGATGCCAGAAAATCCTCTTATTGTCCTCAAATGCTTTAAGACAGTAGGGAAGGGTCCTGTTAGCTTTGTGAAGAAAAATTTATAATCCAAAATAATAAAACATGATATACCCCAAATGCTAGTAGAACGAGAGTGCATGGCTTGCTAACAGCCAAATCTTACGTGAGCCCCTGAAACTCGATCAAAACCTAGTCTTCAAGCCTGAAAAGTGTGTACCGTTTTAGAATCCTTTGCTTAAAATGAATGAAAGGCTAAAGTAAAGCAATCTAACCAAAGATGAAATTGCAGAGATCAATACTGTGAATGCCAGATTTTCTGTGGTAGTTCTCGGTTCCGTCGCTCAGTTCCGTCCCTCAGTTCATAGTTCAGTCGCTTATATTCACAAGTTATTTTTATTCCATCTCCATACAGATCGATACATGCAATATGTTTTTTTTTATTTAATATCATCGCGTGCGGACTTCGTTGAATAAAACATGCTTGCTTTAAGCCAATAATAAGGCTGGTATTCTTTGCTAGGACAGTCTCTCCTCTCCAGCGGCATCTTCATTCATCAAGTGAAAATTGTTTCCGTTTTTCTGCTGACTTAAAATATAAAGAAATGTAAACCAATGTTACTGGGTATCTGTAATAAATGTTACATTTACTCGATCATGCAGATCCTTTGATGACTCAGACATCCTCTCATCGAACAAATTGTTCCACAGAGTCAGAGCTCTCTTTCCCATAGAAAAACGAATCAAATTCTATTAATCATGTATATTCACCTTTTCAGTAAGCTGAGACGTACATGTTTAAAGACTCTTCTTTCTTGTGGTTCAGGAGTGCTTTTCCTGTTGTTGAAATAAAAATGAAAAGTAGAGACTTATCAAAGAAAAGAAATTTTTAAATTTCGCTTTAGTGAGAGGGGAAACTTACGATTAAAATGTCAACTCGTTTTAACATTTTCTAAATCTTGCAATCAGCGTTCAAGAAATTTATTAGAACTGCGAGGAAACCAGCATCTCATATTAATCGACGCACAATGAAAGACTTATTTTAGAATCGTGACAAACGAGACCAAAGCTACAAATTTGTACCAATTTTATGGCCCAAGTCTTAATCAATCAAGAACTTAGAAACCAATTCTTAAATCTGTGCTTTAAGTCAAAGAAGACGGCTTTAAATTTAAAAAGTTTTTGTTTCAAGACACATAAGGTTTTTCCGCATAACTATATTTACTTCTAGTTAAAGGTTCAATCATAAAACATTGCATCATTGGTCTTGTTATAGTATAATAGTAACTGTGCAGTACATTGAGCCAACGTACATTTCTTTCTCGATGCCTTCTTTCGCATGATTTTTGTCGTTATTTCTTTTTAGCCAATCAGAGGCCCTCTCCTCCCTAAGTCCTTCTCGGTCAACTGACTGACGTGTTTGCCAGGGGCGGAGATGGTCAGACCACTTATGTTGTTCACGACCTATTTTGAAATGAGCATTCACTACTCCCAACAACATTATAATGACAGTTAAACCAACGATGCATTGACATAAGGAACTTCTTGACACCATTCTGAACACTTCTTTGAGGAATGGAAATGGTTGTTCTGAATGTGATACGAGCCCTTATCCTTGGAAGAGAAAAATGAAGTCATATTTAAGCAGACGTCACTATTTAGTAAGTTCAACATGTACCGGTAATGTAACGTGATTTGCGTTAAACGCGTCAATATTGATGCTAAAAACTTTTAAAAACTCAAGGAGCTTAGAGTTAGATCTAAAAAACTTCTGAGCTGACTCCGCAATCATTATATCTTAACCACGTCGCAAAAGACTAAGAAAACGAAGTGTTGGAAGAATAATTTTTACGAATTTAGTTCGTCAAAATGAAGATTATGATGTAAATAATGGGTTGAAATTCTTTTTTTGTTTTCAAGGTTATGTTTGTCACTTTTTTGACTTTCAACAAAATAAACTAATAAAATGAAATACTCTATTTAACTAATAACGAAGGAAAAACGCTGGTTGAATAATGTTATTTTCATTGATGTCGGTGTTTAAACCAAGAACAGACCTTTCGTGCAAGCAAACCATGGTGTAATGGTTCATATTGTCCATAGTATTAACTTTGTCTTTGTATCTGTTTCAAACTTCGAGTCAATGAATCTTAGCTTTTGATACGAACAGCAGTGTTAAGACATTCATACTTAAACATACCCGCGTATGGAGAAATTCATCCTTTAGTAAGTTTATTTTGGAGGATTTGTGGGCAATCAGTCAACTTTGACACTACGGAACCAGTGTAATTTGACTGGGCCCTGTTATTATATTTACTGTGTGAATTTCTAAATGGATCTTCAACCTAAAGTTATTTAAAAAAAACGTGTTTGAAATTCAATGAGAAATTTTACTGGCCTCTTTGTCTAACTGCCTCAGCTGGTGACTGAGTTACAGAACGGGGAAGGAATAGCTTCGTGAAAAGATTGCAAAAAACTAGCATACAGAAAATGTCGAAATGTAAGCGATTTTAAAATCATACCTACCTAAATTAAAAAGAAAAAAATGCAGAGATCATCAGTGGGTAAACATGTTTAGTTGTCTTTAAGAAGTCATTATATGTTTAAAACCAATTCCAATTACCTAGTTATGTTTCTCGATGGGTAGCCGAACACGTTGAGTCTGTCCTGGTGTGGATGACTCTCTATGGGATTCTCTGCTGTCTTGACGCTGTACCTTGGTGTAGATCGAATGACCCTGGCTACTTTCCTTTTTTGACGACCTTATCTTTTCTTTTTAAGCGATTGAATTATAAATTCCACTAGGTGAAAAAGAAACAAAAGTGCGGCTCAATAGCCAATGAAGACAATTTTGCTAAATTTAGAGGCACTCCACTGACTTTCGCAAGCTCACTCGGAAAACACAGAAATCTCCGGTACTTAGAGTCGCTTTGCGCTCAGTTTTTTATAGCGGCCATCATGGAGGACAATACACACTACATAAAATTAGCAACCGGAATTCAGGGCTGCCTACACCTGAGACAGAAAAAGAAACAATTTATTTTATTGGCTTTCACGTAAACTTGTCGAGAAATGGTCACTTAACCACTTTATCAGAATTACTCTTTGGTAGCCAACTCTTGGTGTTAATGGTTGTGTTTGTTTGGTAATGCATAGAATACACGTCAATTAAGCAATTGTAGTGGCCGTATCCATCTGTACGAGTGCGCCACTATCAACGTTAACAGTCTTTTAAACACTTGGTTGTATTGAAGGTTGTAAAGTACTGGCGAAACAAAGTATTTTATCCTTAATTTGGTTCTATCAACTAAGTTGAAATTGTAAATTGGCCACCGTAAGGAGTTAAAAAGCTGACGTTTCGAGCGTTAGCACTTCGTCAGAGCGATTCGTTAGTGGTGTTATATTGGGGAAACCAGTAGAGCTTTTAATAGCCGAAAAAAAATAACATTTGAGAAATATCAAAACTGCGGCCAAAGGTTCTAGAATTGCTAATCACGCCTGGTCCAACAACCGCTCCATTAATTTTGAAAACGCGTCAATTATTGACATAGGCACTTGTAGAAGCAGAAAACATTAGAAGCGTGGCATACCAGAGTGACACCTAGCGCAGATAACAATTCTTACCCGTTGCCTGGACAATACAACATTCTTTTAAACAAATATTCATAATCATCTACATTCTCATTATTTCGCAGTTCATGTCTTTATTGAAATTATCTCATCGCTTTCTTATCATTCATTTTACCCGTCGAAGACTGCAGTTCGGGCAGTCGAAAGCTCGTAGTTTTTAATCATTTTAGCCAGAGATCGTTTTTAAATTTCAACTATCTAATGGATAGTCAGACAGATCTTGAAAAAATTTTCTCCGAAAAACATTGCGCTCATTTTGTATTTGGCTTAATCGAACATGATTTTTTTTTCGAAAATGACAATAACTTTCAACTAATCGACGGCAAAACTTGTTATTTTATTGATATCTCACTACTGTTATTATCATTATCATTGTTATCATTATCATCATCACCATCATCATCATTATCATTTCAAGCACCATTACTCTTATTACTGTCAGCACTACTCAATTCCTTTTTTACTAAGGGGATTGCGAAACCACAACATCAACATAAACAAAAACAGCAACGTGTATCACACAGATAAAGACTTAATCTGTAAGACATTACTACCGGCCCTCAATGGAGTGAATAACAGTTAATTCATCAGTTTACTGGCTTATAACAGCTTGCTAAAATAAAT